TTTTAAGTAGAGAATTCTGGAAGTCGTGCTTGGCGATTGGCCACATCTCATTGATATCAAGAACCTCATAATAATATTTTGAGTATTGATTTAAAAATATCTAAATAAGGGAAATTGTTTAACTGTGAGCGGCAGCATTAGTGTGTAGTACTCGCGAGAAAGCAGTTGACCACTTGGGACAGATTTTGAAGAGGCGGCACACATGCATAGCGCAGGCGAAGGATATTTATTGGAGGCATAGCCTAACACCGAAGGATCTGTCACACCGCACCCAGCATATTGAGAACATTCTAGTAACATCACTGACATGAAATCTCGACACCTTTTGCTCAATTGTGAATGAGTTGCACTCTTTAAACGTACCTCACCACTTTTGAACACCTTAGTGTGTTGGGCCAAGTGGTATTTATAGTCAAATTACAGTTAAAAAAATTAGCTGCTGAGTTTGATATAGTTATTTTACGTTATTGAAGTTGTACTGCCACTTCACGCGTTGCGTGAAACATGCATTAATCTGATGCACTCATAGATATGGGCAAAGAGTTTACTTGAAATGTCGCTCTTTCTCACTGTTAGTAATCTTCTTTTGTGTGCAAAAAAATTAGTGCAAACTATTGCTTCATTTCAGATTGTATGTGCAAACTACTGAATAACATAGCAAAAAATGAATTTGCAAAGGAGCGGACTGCATTCACTAATGCAGCCAAGAAATTCCTGGTTGAAGTGCTTGCTAAGAAGGATTTATATAGTGCAAATGAATATTACATGTGCAAAATACTTCTTCCGGATGTGTTTTCCTGGTTCCCTGTCCCGGTTTGTTTACTTGCCTTTTTATCTGTTTATATTTAGCAAAAAATAATTATCTTGAAATTGCACCAGGTGAATGTAATTTTTGTGACTTTTTTCCCCAGAAGTACCTATTTCTTCGACTTTTAGAGTCTCTGCTCACAGTGTTGGTATCTTACTCGTTGCAAAAAACTCACAAAGTTGACAATACCTAATAAATGAGCTTGCGACTAGTATAAAGGGAATTGGACTTCAAAGAAAACCAACTGCTGAAAAACAAGCATTGCTCCAGTGCTTTACGGAAACTCGAGAATTATTAGTCTATTGATCTTGTGAACAAAAGCTCTATGTGAACAAACAATGGCGATGAATAACGATTCCGATTTGAAGCTGAGCAGGAAAGTAAAAGAGCAGGATGGAGAGTCCCCACTAAATTACAGGAATCGTTCAAAAAGCAACTTTTTTCAATTGCGCTCTGAACCGTTATCTGCTCTGTTGTATGTGGAATACGCTGAGAAGAAGTTAATGACGATTTCGAAAGCCGTGAAACGGCGCTTGCTAGATGTAAGCAACTTAAATTACATCTTTGGTGAAGTACCATTTTTCTATTCTGGTATAAAAATGTAATGAAGGCATCATACGCCAAGAAGAGTCGTGCTACCATGATGTGGCAAGAATGAGAGACAAAAATGGACAAGCGAGCTACTGAATTGCTTATGCATGAGCGTCAATGGTTTGGAGCTTACACGCGGGATTTGGTGGATGAAGAAACAAACAAAATAAAGAAGAATGGAGAAGTTGCCAACTGCATTAGTGACAACAAAGAAGTGCGACGGTGAACCTACAACATCTCAATCAATACGAAAAACGGCAAAAAGCAGGATGAAAACTGTAGTTTTGAATCTAAGCGGTTTGTCGTGAACGAAGCCCTCCTTCGCAAAGAGTTATGGAAAGAAAGAGAATCGAACTATTCCTCTTAAATTCCGGGCACTACATATTACCTACTATACCCAGTCCGTTGTATTTCAGGATCAACCTGGCAGCGCATTTACTGTGCATCTGTCTTTCAAGACAGAGTACACCTTTCTTTTCTTGGTCGCTTCCCATAAGCAATGCGCATCTCTTTTTCTGTGGCGGCTTCTTTGCCTGCTTCTCCTGGCTTTCTGCAACACAGTGGCCACTTGTGAAACGCTTACTTACACTAGATGCTTAAGCACCAGAAACAAAACCCCTACCATATTCGCCGTCTAGGAGATGCGGAAAACAGACGAAATGTAGCCCGCGGGTAGTAAATGTCTACAGCAGTTACTTACTGACAAAGCTGTTAATGGCCCAGCTACCATGACAACGGAATTTGGAAACGTTTAGAAAACTTTTGTAGATAGAAGATAAGCCAGTGGGATGGCGGCCTGACAAAGTCATGATGATATCTTGGCTAGAAATTATATTTCCAATTGCATATGCTGGACAGTTGCCCAACGCTTTTTTCGAATTTGTGAAAATCGTTGGTGGTAAGCATTACATATTCTTAATACGCGTATGCTGGTACAGTACCGAGGATTTTGGGCACTATGTTACACCAACGTGACACATTTAACTTGAGGAGGG